TTTTTTCCGCTTTTATTATGTTAGCCACCCGTCACTTACAGCTAAATCTAGATTAAGTGGAGCAATAATAAACACTGATATCTGCATAACTGAAACATGCAACAGACGATAGCACGCCAATGACTACATCTTGTTGTGAAGACCTCTGACTCTATCATCCCTTTCCTCGTTAATGCGATCCTTCTTCGCAATAGGATCTTCGATAATGTGCAGATAGTTGTGATTTAGAAACCTTGCAAGCTAAACAAATAATAACTAGGTGATACTGAGATTTATGAGCGAAGACGTACCTGCGCCGATTGAGCCGACAAATTTGTGAAGTGACAGGCGAAGAGTAACAGATTCCGAGGTTGGACGTGCCATGCGAATCTCATAAATACGGAAGAGTATAGGCAGAGTGCCACAGTCATGTTTCCAGAGATCAAATCGGGATTCTTCTGAAGAAATCCCAAAAGTCAGTAATCACAGCGTAACCACCACTTATTTCTTTAAAAAACGAGCCTTTAGATCAGCCAGTGCCGCTAGCGGAATGCCCCAGTTAGCAACGGGACCCCAAAAATGAGTGGACGTAAAATAATCGATCCATTCTTTTCTACTATGTCTTCGAAAATAGGTGACTACAGCTGAGCCAACCCTCGACATATCTGAAAAGAGCGGATATGACGACGATTGCTGTTGTCGGCACACAGCCAGTACAATGATCACGATGCAAACACGAGTACAGCTAGGAACGGTTGGGAGAGCAAAAAACTTGAATTTACGAGTGATTACGAGACATAAAGGTTGGAAAGGTTGAGATAAGGAAATTGGGAAACTGCGAGATAGCGAGAATGCTGACATGTTGGAGAATGCTGATTCACATGCTCTTTTCTTTGCTGTCCAGTCTCTTCTGGGCGCGGATAACAAAGGAAAGAAGCTGGCAGAGCAACAATGCAACGATAATCATCGCCAAGCATTTATGATTTGAAGAAAATCATTGGGTGTAAGATTGAACACGTCAAAGCAAATCATAATGGTAACAACGAACTGCTAACTTACGATTGACCTTTACCCGTGACTATCTG